TTGGATGAAGATGAGTTCCTGCCATAGTGAAATCATAAATTCTACTAAACAAAAAGCAGAGTCAACCTTGATAAACCTATACTTACATCATGGGCAGCTTCAAGTTTCTTTTTTTTTCCTTGAACCTCTTTTTTTACAGTCTAAATTTTATCCCCTTCCTTGTCTACCCTATGACTGTTCCACATCCCATACTTCCTCCTGCCACCCCCTGTCTTGAAGAAGATTCCCCCACTGCATCACCTGCACCCCACCAGAACTCCCCACTCCCTGCGGCCTCAAGTCTCTTGAAGGTTACGTGCATCTTCCTGACTGAGTCCAGACCAGGAAGTCCTCTTCTGTATATGTGTTGGGGGTCTCATATCAGCTGGGATATGCTGCCTGGCTGGTGGATCAGTTTCTGAGAGATCTCTGGGGTCCAGGTTAGTTGAGATTGCTGGTCTTTCTATAGGGTCACCCTCCTCCTCCGCTTCTTCCAAATTTTCCCTAATTCAACCACAGGGGTCGCCAGCTTCTATCTATTGGTTGGGTGTAAATATCTGCATCTGACTCTTTCAGTTGCTTTCTGGGTCTTTCAAAGGGCAGTCATGTTAGACCCCTTTTTGTGAGCACACCATAGCAAGCTTCAAGTTTTTTAACCTGAAACTTTAATTTTCATGCCAGCAATGGAGTTCAGTTCCGTATCATGAAAGAAATTTCATTCAATCTTCCATTTTTCTCTCTCTATGCTTAGAGATGATTTGAAGGAAATATTTATCCCTTTAATGAGCCCTTTGGGGTAATGTGTTTACAAAAAAATAGAAGAAAGGAAATAGATTACTCAGTGATTGCCAGTCTATGGAAAATCTTCTGTAAAACTAAAAATGAAATCTTAAAAATACTTGGAGATAGAAGCAACTATAATTGATAGTTAGATATTTAAAACTCTTAAGTCTATACTTAAAGTTATAAATATAATTTAGCAGTACATAGCCAACCAGTAGTGTAAATAGTGATCTATAGATTCCATGTAATTTAGTCTTTAATAAGAAGTTTCAGTAGTGCTAAGTGTTTTAGATAGGTCTCTTTAGTTTTACTATTAAGATTTGTCAAATGGACCGCATTTTGAATATAGCCAGAAGAGAGAGAGAGAGAGAGAGAGAGAGAGAGAGAGAGAGAGAGAAAAATGTTTTCTAAGAACAAAAATTATACAAACATGAGCAAAGACCAATAGTTTTCTTCAGTTTATATAGAGTTGAGTGTATGATGAGGCTTAGTAAATGTCACTGATGGTAACTAAAGGCAAGTATAACAAAGTACTGCTTCCCTTGCATATAGAGGTAATGGATTTCTAGTTGTGATATATCTCCATATTGATACCTTACTTTACTGTAAATTCATACTTCAAATGTATATTTTCCATCACAAGTAAACATGGGATTGCATGTGTGTGTGTGTGTGTTTGTTTGTTTGTGTGTGTGTGTTTGGTAGCTTAGCCTATCAGAATTATGTAAAGTTGTAAAATTCTCCTTATTTTCTATGCACAAAATTCAAAGGAGAATATAAATATAAAATTGTGTTCCCAATTGTAATTGTTCATGTAGCTGTCCAGACTATTTCTGTCCTTTATATATCAATTAAATTTTAATTTTAACAAGTTACTATTTTTCATTTGTTAAATTCTGGAATATTTATTATTCTAGGAAGGATATTTTTACCTAGATTTGAATTATACAGACAAATATTTAATTAATTAAAATAAATTTTCAAAACAAAAGTGCATGACATCATATTAAATTGCTAATTGGTATTTTTCATTATTGGTAATAATTTTATGTGTAATGTCCATTGTAATTTTTTTTAGATTTCAAGGATAATAGAATGATATTTATTTTGCAATTATTTTCTCTTCAAACTTATAGTATTGAACTACAACTCAGAGCCAGCTATCTTCTTTATGGTCTACAACTACTTAAATCCAAGTAAAATTATCACTTCTCTAAAATATACTTGAAATTCCCACTATGAGCCTACTTACTTTTAGTATATTAATCAAGACTAGCTGTGACAAACAGTTTTATGGGGTCTATTTTAGGAGTATTCATTCTTATAAAATATTAAAAATTTTCTGAAAATATTAATAGTTTTGGTATTAGTTTTATATGTAACTATTTTAAAAACTAGTTCAAATTTTCTTTGTTTACATCTTTGACTAAATATTTAAACATGTGTTGCCCTTGGTATGTTCATTTGACTGGTATATAAGTGGTATTATATTTGATATATAAGATAACATATTTTTCATCATAGATATTTGTTTGCTTTATACATATTTAGAAAAGCTTTTTCAGAAAGAAAATTATCATCTTTATATTAAATTAATTTTATGGATAAATTCAACAATTTATATTTGTATTAATATGTGATGGCTCAGTTGGCAAGAGCAATGATTGCTTTTCCGGAGATCATGAGTTCAAATCCCAGCAACCACATAGTGGCTCACAACCATCCATAATGAGAGATCTGATGCCTTCATATGAACGAGTGGCACCTGGAGGCAACAGTGGCCAAAGCAAGCAGGGGGCCTGGAGCAAGCAGGGCCTGAGCATTAGGGGCTGGAGCAAGAGGGAGAAGGGAAAGGAGGAAAAATATTTTTTCCAGAGTTTATCTAAATATTTCTCCCAAATTTAAAGTAATTCTGAACTCTCCACCTTGCTTTATTTAAAACTCATACACTGCATTTCTCATAATCACAATTATTTCTCCGCTTTTAAATCTTTCTTCTCCAATTATATCTATTGATTATTGTTTTCAAAACAATTAGTGATTTAGTTATTTTGATAGAGATTATTATTTTATATTTTCATATTTTATTTATGTTTTGCCTTTTTCTCCTCATGAATATAATCTCTTTAAATTTCTGAATCTTTTGAATTATACCTTATAAATTAAAGTAATTTTGAATTTTATTTGATTTCCTATCCAAAGCTATTGTATAACTAATAAATGTGTGTTACTATTTAACACTTGTTTATGTTTTTCCTATGGTTTTATTTTTCTTATGTAGGTGTTTTCTCTTTTATGTTTTTTCATTGTTAATTATTGAAGTTATTCTGCTTAATTTTTAGTTGAATTATTTATTTGTGTGGCTTTTTATTAAATTTTGGGAAAGTTATTACTTGAGTATTATATTTATAAAATAGTAATGGATTATGGTTTTTTAGCTTAACCTTTTCTAGTTTGAGTACAAATTGTAAGCTCAAATTAATTCCTTAAGTTAAAATAATTCCACACGTATCTTTATAAATTGTGAAACTGCTTTTTATTTATACACTTGCTTCTTTGTGTTATTGAACAATCTGCTCATATTCATTCAATTACAGTTTTCCTTGTGATTGGACTTTGATGTTTGAGAGATATTGATTTTATTATCAGAAGATAAAATTTCAAAGAATAATTATTTCAAAATTATAGAAATTTTCCTTTTATGTCTTTGGAAATAAACTTATTAGTGTTATTTATTTTATAAATGTTCCTACAATTTTTTAATAACTGAAGGAATAATTATAATGAGGATCTTTTATAGTACAACTGAGGTAAATGGCAGGATCTTTAATTATTTGGGGATCTTTAATTGTCTAGGGGCCATTTAGAATCTCAGTGTAAACACACAACTCATCTTTGTTTCATGATGAAGTAAAAATGTTGGAACTGAACTGAAAGATGTCCTACCCACAGCAGCTGCATTTCTTAGTGCAGAATGTACTATGCAGCCTGTTAGAGTTGAAAAGACATTTATAAGGAGTTGTAGCTCTGAAAACTACAAAACCAACCTTCCAGGAGAGTTGTGTATACACACTTGTGTAAAAGTTCATGTAACCAATCACTGTCTGAATTTGAGGCCCAGTCCAAAGGACATAATCCATAACTGATACCATAAACCTATTTAAAAACCTATACCAGGAAATGATCCTTTAGGGAAGCCTTCTTGGGGATTGGTTCTAATGCTTTGTCTTAATTTGGCTCCCGATATCATTTGGGAATCTCCATGTGCAGACACTGAGGGTCCTTGTCCCCATTTGGTTTTTGATCAATAAACATTCAGTGTTCAGAATCTCTTAAGCACATATATTTTAAAACATTCTTAGCTTTAAGACGGGGAAGTCTATTTAGTGAATTCTGGTGAGTGCAGAAACTCATGGCTGTACAATATACTCAGAATAAGTGAGTGTTGACTAAGTCTAAACAAGAAATTCATTTTTTCCTTTCCAATGTTCAGGGAGTTTTGTGGATGAAGGGGCTGAAAGAATTTAGGAACCCTAAGACATTGAGTAGGGCTATAAAATGCTTGTTCCTTGGCAATACAATGTGCTACTGCAGTAATCATCATGCATTACCTATGGATGCCTAACCTGGGTCTGTACAATGAAGTGTCTGCCAAGAGTGAGGAATTGGTGTAGGCAGTCTTCAAGGCAACCTTCCCATCCATGTCAAGTACTTCCTATTAGTACATTCATGGAAAGGGAAGTCATAGCTTACAGTTTGTAACCACTGGTCATGTCAACAAATTCCTATGAATAATTTCAAAGTTCCCATACCGTGGTCTTGAAGGTGATCCTAATTAAACTAGTCTGACCATAAAAGAAAACAAAAGTAATGGATCTGGGAAAATACTGTTAATGAGCAGATAGAATTGATAGGTGTGATCTAATATCATTGATAACTGTGGTATAAGAGCATAGAAAAAGAGTAAAAAGAATGTTTTGTATAATGTATAAAACTATCAAAAACTTCCTAAATTAATAAAAAAGAACTTTTCATTTTTTATTTTCTTTATTTTATTAATTTATTCTCCTCTCAAATTTTACATCCAGACCATAATTTCTCCTCTCAACTCCCACCTCTCTGCTTTCTTTATAAAGGCACTTAGTGCTATGCACATAGTGCTTTATTAGCATACCAGTGTGTGTGTTTGTGTGTGTGTGTGTGTGTGTGCACATCTGTGTGTATAAATTTCCCATCATAAAATATGGAAAATTTTTACAAATTCAAGTGTTGTCTTTGTGCAAGAGCCATACAAATCTTTTCTGTATTGTTTAAATTTCAGTATATATGCTACTGAAGGAAGAAAGTCTTTATTTTCTATTGTAATAATGCTATACTTTTTTCTTCTGATATATATTTCTATGATAAACTATCTTAATAAATATCTAGTATGAATCTATCCCATTTTGGCAAAGATATAATAGAGTCTTATTCACTTAATGTTTAGTTGAATTAGGTAATATTAAATTTAGGATCTCTGAGTTAAGTTAATAAGTAAAACCACTCATATTTTTCTTGTGCTTTAGGAAATGACAAATTTCCACATATAATAACATTTTTATATGCTATAAAATATTATGACTGCAATAAGAAAAATTTATTTTTTTTATTATTTGGATATGTTTCACTTGTATGTCTATGTTTCAGAGTTCATACATTATTTGTATAAATTTTGTCATAACAGATTAAACATTTCATTGGTTGGAGAATCAATTATGTCGATTTCATCTTTCCTAAAAATTAATATATTTGGTGAAAATTTCTAAATTCATATTCAAATAATTTAATATTTGTCTATAAGTTCTATCTGTTACATATATCAGTAAACTAGCTTGGTAAAATTAACAATTTTATGTTTAGATAATATATAATATTCTTAGCTTATACATATACATTTGTCTGCCAATAATATTTATTTTATGATATATTTTACATTTGTTTCATGATGAGATATATATTCTGTGTAACCTAACTTATATAATGTAAACAACTTGTGTATGTGATATATAATTTTATATACTCAAATAACTATACATATACATATACATATATATATATATTCCATTATTACATTTCATTTATAACAGTTATTGTCTGCTTTATTCTCATGTGGTGGCTTAGAAAAAATGTCACCAATAGGCTCATATATTTGAATCATTAGTCATTAGGGAGTATCACTGTTAGAGATGGATTAAAGCATGTGTCATTGTGGGTTGCTTTTAAAGTTTTAATTTAAATTAACATTCTAGGCTTAGCTCTCCTTCTTATCCTGAAGATCTGAATGTAGCTCTTGGCTACACAATTGTGCCCTGTGTGCCATCAGGGGCCTCCAGATAATGATAATGTAGTAAATTTCTGAAATGTAAGCAAAGCTCCAGTTAAATACTTTCTTTTTGTGAGAACTGCCTTAGTCATTATGACTTTTCACAGAAACAGTACAGTGACTAGGAGACCTTATAAAGTAACTTCCCTTTATTCTGCTCAAATGTTAATTTTCCTGAGTGCGCTGGAACCACACATACACTGTGTTATCATCCTTATTACTAAAGGTCGGGGACACTTTAACAATGTGTACCTTACTATAGGTAATACTAAATATAGATAAACATCTTCTGAGAATACTTTTCATATTTTATATTTAAGAAATTAATAACAAAAATGTCTCTTCTATGATTTTACTCTTCTTTTATTAGCTATCTTTATGAGAAAGAATTCCTAGACAATTAAACTCTCCTTTCAGGATACTAGAGTTCTTTTTTATTTTTCTTTATGGGCATATATCCTCTCTTTTTCATTCGGTGTCTGTCTCCCAATCTCTCTGCCTCTCTGATTCTGTTTCTGTTTCTCTCTGTCCCTCTCTGTCTCCGTCTCCCTCTCTCTCTCCTCCCTCTCCCTCTCCCTCTCCCTCTCCTCCCTCTCCCTCTCCCTCTCCCTCTCCCTCTCCCTCTCTCTCTCCTCCCTCCTCCCTCTCCCTCTCCTTCTCCATCTCCGTCTCCGTCTCCCTCTCCCTCTCCCTCTCCTTCTCCGTCTCCATCTCCCTCTCCCTCTCCCTCTCCCTCTCCCTCTCCCTCTCCCTCTCCCTCTCTTCCCTCTCCCTCTCCCTCTCCTCCCCCTCCCCCCTCTCCTCCCCCTTCCCCTCCCTCTCCCTCTCCCTTTCCGTATCCCTCTCTTCCCTCTCCCTCTCCCTCTCCCTCTCCTCCCCCTCCCCCTCCCCTCCCCCTTCCCCTCCCTCTCCCTCTCCCTCCATCCCCCCTCTCTCTCTCTGTGTATGAGTGTGTGTGAGAAGGTGTGCACTAGAAATATAGATTATAATATTATAAAATATATTTATATATTCATATTATATTTATAATATAAATAGAATATTCTAATGTAGTAGATATATAGGCAGTTTTGAGTTGAAACTAAGGAAGAATATCTGGGATGTCAGGTGAATTAACTTGTATATGCAAGACAAATAATGCTTTGAGATACAATTTTACAACATTTTAATCATTTATATAAATATCGGTTTGTATCTTCAGAGTTGTGGAAGTAGTGACTTAACACTACTTTCACTCTGAACAAACCAAATGAAAGTCATGTAGGTATTACTATTACTTGACTGGAGAGCCATGTAGTAAAAATTTAAAAAAAAATAGCATGGTGTAAAATTTTATAAATCTGCATGAAATCATATCCCCTAAAAAGTTAGCAGTATGGATGCCATTGGGAGGGGATTTTTCCATGAGGGCATAATCTTCATGAATGAAGTTAATGTCATTATCAAATAGGCAGAGAACGGCTTATTGGCTATTTCTATCACATAAGACTCAGAGAAACTGAACAGTGAACCAAGAAATAGGCCTTCTGCAAACTGAGACTATCCTGGTTTATTGAACTTAGAGTGTACATTCTTTGCACAACTGTAAGAACTGTTTTTTATAAGCTACTCATTTGATAGTAGTTTATTGTAGTCACACTTATGGACTGAGGCAGGTCCCTAAAGGCATCAAATTTAGTGTTAAATGCACTCAGATGAAGAGTTTCACAAAGTAAACTGGGTTTTTAAAATTTTACTTTCAATTAATAAATTATTTTAAATTAAAATTACTTTAATAGAAAGTTTGTTCCAATATTTTAAGTAATTTTTAATATAATTTTAAACAAGTGATCTTACATTTTTGACCAACAAAACAGATGAGTTTAAAGCAAACTGATACACTTAACTGAGAAACGCTTCTACCATTTATTTTATGATCGAACTTATATACGAAACTGGTCTCTTGGTGGTCTATTTGGTTTTATATAGTTTCTTATTTTATTATATTTTTGATTTTGTAAATATCTAATGACTTTTTTATTTCTGGTTGTAAAAGGATTATTACTCTCATGCTCTATTTAATTTTCTTTATCTTGTGTGCTCTTTGTTTTATCATAGCTTTTCAAAGTCTGAGTGGTTTCAGAAGGTAGAAGATGGAAATGTGTGACTTAATCTGTTATATTCTAATAGAACTCAGAGTTTCCTCTTTAGACTATTTCAATTTGAGAACAGGGCTGTGAGGAACAGAAAATAAGAATAATAAAGATCAACAGAATAAAATATTGATACAATGCACTTAGTGCTATGTATTGTATAAGAATTTTAAATAAGTCATTTTATTTAAACTTAACAGCAGTTGCAAGTTATAAATGTCATTATCTAGAAGCAGCCATTATTAATATTATTCTTCAATGAATCTCTATCTCTAGAGATAACATTAAAAGTATGGAACTTGTGTTGATCAATATAAAATAATCATTCATATTTTAGAATTTTATGAACTGTGATAAACATCTATATACTTATAGATATTTGCTTTTAATTCTTGACTAATTTAATAATTATTTTTTCATATAAAATTTTAAGATACTGTAATGAATGGATTAAAATTAGGAGTTTTGGATATTTATATAAATAGGAACAAATTTTAACATTTACATTTCTAATATAACTCAATGTCCTTTGCACGTAAGTATGTGTGTAGACTCAGGCACGCATAATATTTTCCTGTTGGGAAAGTACATTATGAAGTCTCTGTTTACTTAATTGTGCTTGATCACAACAAAGCTCAAGTATAGAAAACTTGCATTAGAAAAGAGTAATTTTTAAGGAACACAAATGGATTAAGTAAAAAAGAATGCATATTGCTTTTATTATTGTAAAATAATTGAATAAGAGAAAAATATTTGATTCGAGCTGCATATATATCACCTAATTTTCACTAACCAAAATAGTTTATATGAGCAAAAATATTTTATAAATTCAAAATAAATATTGTTTGAAATAGAAAAGCATACAGCTGATGCATATTTGCTAATAAATTTTTTTCATGAATATAATAACAATCCTTTTTAAACCACTACTGACTACAGGAATACTTTTAAATTGCCCCCGCGAGGCATTTGTAGCCAAATCTGATGTTCTGAACTGGTTCCAGGGAACATCAACAGGGCTGAAGGAGAGAAGTGATTCCCACATGTTGTCCTCTTATTTTGACTTCATGACAAAGTGGCATGACTACTCCAGGCTGCCCAACAGACATACACATTAAAGCAAAGGTTTCAGTTCAACAGTAATGGTTCTTTTTAGAACCCAAGTGAATGTGGAGCCCCAGCTAATAAGAAATTACATTTTTTTCTTTACTCTTCTCTCATACACTATATCCATACAGCTGTTTTCAACACCATACATTTTTCCCAGTCCCACCCCTACTCCCCTCTCCCCAGATTCACCCCAAACTACATCTGTAACTAAGTACTTCACATGCTTGGCAAAGATCTCACTGTATCATTTTTGATATATTTGAATAGAAATTCTGTAGTTTTTAAGGAAAATTGAGGAGCAGGGTTGACTTAGATACAGTGCTCACATATTAAATTTTCAAAAATGTTAAACAAACATCAACCAGAAGAATCTGTTATTGCAATTAAACTAAGGCTGAAGAACCAACTTCAGTTAACAAGAGGCCAGTACCATTAAAGTGAATCGTTTGCTTTACTAGGAGTGCGGTGACTAATGAGACAACATCTAGCCTTGGACTCCATTTTATTTTTGCTTAAGAGAGTCTGAGACCTCTCTCATCCTCAACAGTAACATCTGCCTTGGCAGCACATTTGGGATGTCCATGACCCTGACCAGGCTCCAAATATGTTAACAAAAGCAGTTTGTGTTTATACGAACTAGATATGAACTAAAACAACCAAGGAAATATAAGTCAAAAATAATTGCCATATTATGTCTGAAGTAACTAATATGTTTTGCCAAAAACAAATGTTGCAAG